CTAAATCAAACAGGTGACAAATAGGTGGACCTCTTAAACCGATAAATTTAAGACTGATAAAGGGAAAACCAGTACATTTTCTTTCCTGATTGCACTTTGACTAAAAGAGTTTGAGAAGGTACCCACATTATTTGGCATAGTGATATGTTCTCATTTTTAATTTTGATAGAAAAGTCTCTGTATTATACTCACAAAATAAAAAGAATTGTGTTTTGGATTTCCCAAGTAGCCTACATGATTTAATGTGCTTAGACAATTAGAATGATTTATTTGGGAATTTGGAGACACACAAGTTTCATTTGCTATTCTGTACACCATGCGTAGTCATTTGGAGAGAGATTGCACTCTATATAAAGTGTTTCTAACAGCTACTGACTTCCAAAGAAAATCTTTTAAAAATTCTTACTCAGGCCAAGGCAAGTGGATCACCTGGGGTCAGGAGCTTGAGACCAGCCTGGACAACATGGTGAAACCCCATCTCTACTAAAAATACAAAGATTAACCAGAAAGGTGGTGGATGCCTGAAATCCTAGCTACTAGGGAGGCCGAGGCAGGAGAATTGCTTGAACCTGGGAGGCAGAGGTTGCAGTGAGCAGAGATTGTGCCACTGCATTCCAGCCTGGGCGACAGAAGCAAACTCAATCTCAAAAAAAAATTAATAAAATAAAATTCTTACTTAATTCTTCTGATTATCTCAAGAAGAAAGTCTCAGTTTGATGTTAGATGTTTTTAACACCTAACACTTGCTAATATCCCTTTTAACAATGAATAGGAGTTCAGTAGACAACTGAATCTACGATGAACCTGGGTAGGTTTGACAAGGTTCAATGGGAAAAAAGGAGGAAGTCGAACCCTGTTAGAGATCAGTATAGATATTTGCACTATGACATCTGGAATCCACAAATCCAAGGTGTTTCCTATGTTAGTTTACTCAAAGGGTCTAGTATACTTGGAAATATTTTTATCAAAAACCCCAAAAACTACAGGCTTTAAGAAAGGTTAATCTAAATGCACAGAGGACAGAAAAATATTAAGAAGTCTCAGGGTGTATCCCTGGTCTTTGGTGTTTCATGTGACATAGTTCTTTATGCTCCTAGTAGAAACAGAATATTGGATGGACCATGGCTCAGACCCACTAGATTAATACTTGCGCTTTTAAGTAAAATCCTCTATTACTTTGAAAATACCTCTTTTAAATTGCAAATGAAGCTGATCTGGGGAAAGGTGTCCCTAAAGAGAAAGTAGCGTAAGTGCCCATGTTAGTGCTATCTTACTGTGTGCACAGGATAAATCTAATGCAGATTGAACTAATCTAAAGTTCAACATCTGTTTCATTCCAAGTGGAACATTTGAAATTCAATGCAAAGAAGGACTTTCAAGCCTGGCTTTTATTCTGAACAACTAATTGCAGTAGTCAGTTTCCAATTTTTGAGTCCATAAAGCCCCTTAGCTAGCCCCAATAAAAGTCCCATAAAGTAGCATTATGTTTGATAAATGTATTATAAGTTTCGTTCTGTTTTTAAAAAGAACAACTGTACATAATTTTATAAATTTTTGAATTCAGCAATATTGAGTATCAGTAATATTGAATATCACAGTTAACAGCCTGTCCTCTGGAGCTGGACAGATGTGGCGTAGAATTTCACAGCTGTTACTGAATGATTTCAGGCAAGTTATTTAGCCTAAGTCTAAGATTCTTTTTTCTATAAAATGGGGATACAAATAATATCACATAGATAGCATTAATGAACTAATGCTTGTTGAAAGCAAGCATTAAAAATACAAAATAATTTAAGCAAGCTCTTAGCATAATACCTGGCAAAGAGCGAGGGGTCAAAACATTAACTGTAATTAATCGCCATCCTACTAGCAGCTTTATTCAGCACTGATCTTTAGATTTAATAGCTTGGTTTATAGAACACAGCAGGTTAAATGCATGTTTAAAAAGTATCTCTTGATATTTTCAAACCTGCAGATGTTTGACACAATGAAAATTAAAAAAGAATTTGTACTTTTTATCTGGAAATTTTGATATTTCAACATTCACAATGATAGCAATGTGAAGTATGCCCATCCTAGTCTTCATTTATTCATATTTTCTATGACACTCTCTTTAGCTAACTCTGCCCTGGAATGGGTTCTCTTTCCTACTTCCCTAAGGTAATAGAATGTGTAGAACTGGAGGGTGAGAGCTCAGAGCTCATCTCTGGGACAGCTCCACCAACTTTGCTTTTTTATAAGGGGGAAACTAAAGTCCAGAAGGGTTAAGTGTTGTGCACAAGTTTGACTGAGTCAAAATTTAAACTCTTTCCCATGCTCATTCCATTGCATCACACTGGTCTTCAAAACTGGAAGGGCTCAGCACTTCTATCCACTACATTTTCTAGGCCTGATTAGAAGTTATTTTCTAGTGTATTGTTAAAGTTCAAACACAAACTTTGACTTCGATGCAAACATTAGTTTCACAAGATTTTTAAATGTTTTAGATATGCTTTCCAGAAGTTTAAGAGACTGAAGCTACACATTGTAGTCCATTTATACAAAGGAAAATGGACTTGACAAACACTGTTCTGGCAAGTCAGTGCTAAATATAATCTTAGTTAAGGAGATGTTTTCATTAAGCATCCTCTTTCAAATGCCAGCTAAAGCTTTTCTTGTGTATGTGCAACAGTGGGTATTACATGTAAAATATCCATACGTAATACATGTATTTTATTTATAACACAGAGCAGTCATAATGTATATTAGATACACAGTTATTGTTTAAATAAAGTATTTGTGAATTCTTGATCATTTGTCTTGTTGTCTAGAGCCTAGGATAGTGCCTGGCACATAGGCATTCAGGAGATATTTACTGACATTCTGAATGAGTACTATCTGTCTTATAGAGAACGTGCTGTTGCCAATTAATGTGCTTTGTACACTATCTATCATGGCACAAAATTCAGCCCAACACCAATTTCAGTCCTTGAAATATTGTCAGGAACTTAAAAAAAAAAAAAGTGCAACTCAGTCATTCCAGCTTCTGTGATAGATTTTTTAAAAAATATGCATTTGAAAACTGTGATTATTATAGTATAATGTTACAAGTAAATTTCTCTTTGAGAATATATATTAAAATTTCCTTGCCTATAACCATCATACAGTGGCAAAGTAAAAACTCTAGTGGCGCCACAAAAACTCTTCAAAATAATTAAAGTAGAATTTCTGAGCAAATAGAATTAACAAGAGTCATGAATCAAGTCAGTTCGAAGGTGAAATTTTGTGTGGGGCATTGATATCATTTTGGCCCATTTAAGAAAGAAAGAGGACCTTGAAGAACATTGCTGTAAATCATGAGGAAACAGGAACATATTTTGGTTTTCTAGAATTAGTTAATTTTTTGTAAAGCAATGTTTCTAAGAAGACATTTTATAAATATAGATATATTTAAAAATTTTCTTTCTCACTAAAGGATTGTGATGTTTCCAAACAGCATGCAGTTTTTCTGAAAATTTAAACCAATATTTTGTTGAAAAAAATGCTTTTTAAGATCATATGTTAAACCTTAAGGAGAAAACAGCTAAAACCCCAAATTGTGTGGAAAAAAGTCCTGTTCTGTAATTCTGTGTATGATGCTGGGATTAGGCAAACGACTGATGGCTTGATCTGTCAGGGGCTAACCTGAAAACTGCTGACTTCCTGGATGTGAGCCAAAGGTTGCCCTTGGGGTTAAGATAAGCCAGTTAATCTCCTGACTGAAACAACTAGTCTAGACATTGAATTGCTCTGGCACGGTACTTGTCAGGGATGTTGTGGATTGACTACATTCTAATTTTGCCCACTGTGTAGTCCTAGAATTGCAGGGTGTTTTGGACAAGAGGATGGCACAGTTGCTATAACTTGACTAATTCAGCTGCGGAGAGAATGTTATATAAGATGGGGTGCTGGGTTTTGCGTAATTTTTTTAGATCAGTTCCCAGTCACCAATGAAGAGAAAATAGCTGCATAATAGGTCTAGCTTGTTTTATTCATGCGTAAGGATGTAATAAGGAATCTGTAAGCTGGTATTAGACTGTGCTTCTGATCCTCTGAGAGGTTCTTCTGGCTGTGAGGATCCTTAAAAGTCGTTGAGAGAGTCATTTGGGACTGCTGTATGCTGATGACTCTGAACTGAAAGACACATCTAAAGTGAAAAAAGAGTTTCTAAACAGCCAGCACAAAAATAAAGGCAGTCATTGGACATCAAGCAGAAATTTGACACAAAACTCTATCATTACCTGACATTTTGTTATAAGAAATGCTAAAGCAGATTAAGCAGAAAAATAAGTGATGCACAGGCCTGGAATATCCTCAACCTAGCAAGAATTGAAGACTCCAACCCACAACCTGGATGCGATACACTGACTTGACCCATTTTGATTTTCATCATATCTTATTCAAGACTGAACCCTTACTTCATTCCAAGATGTTTGGTGCTTGAAAGATGAACAAAATGAAGTTCTTCTTTTAATGACTTTATATTCCAGTAAAGATGGTCATATCAAATAAGAAAAGAATATAAACCAAAAAAAAAGATGGACAGCCAGCATCACATACTTACTTAGGGGAAATTGAGACCTCAGCTGAAATAAGTGAAGGATTCTGTACCCATTTAGAAATGTGTCTTCTTTAATTTTCTCAACTTACTTTATACATTCTTCTTCTACTCATCTAAACCTGTAGCTACTATTGTATTCTCTAGACACCAAATATTTTATCTCTAACCTCCACTCCTTTCTGTTTTCTTTGCAACTACTTTTCTTAAGTTTTCAAAAGCTTTTTGTTTGAACTTTCCCTGGAATTATCTAACTCTTTGCCTTCTCCTCTTCTGTATACCTCCCTTTGGTCTAAAACAAATTCATGTCACCCCACTGCTTAGCATCTTCCCCAAACTTCCCTATCACTTGCAAGACAAAGTCCTTATTTCTTAACATGACTTATAAAGAACGTTTTGTATTAAGACCTGTCTACCTTTTCAGACTCATTGCTTCCACCTGTTCCTGGACCAGTCCTAGATGCCAGCAATAGAGAAATCCCTGCAGTTCCCCAAAGGTACCACATTCTTCTTTATGTCTCTTCTCTTCTATTCCATTTACCTGGAAAGTCCTTTTCTTCATTTATCTGCCTGCTGATTTATTCCAATCATTCCTCAAAAGTCAACTGAAGTTCATTTCTTTAAAATGCCTCCTGCCCACATTTCTAGACAAAATCATGCACTTTTGTTTCTGTGAGCTCTCATCACGAGCGGTAATTTTTTTTTCATTTGTTTCATTATTTAGGATGTGAGAACTCAAAGGGCCAGTAACATGTGTTTGAGCATGTATATTATAGATACATAAACTCATCTTGTACTCCCTATGTTTACCACAATTTCTGGTTCAAAACCAGGTGCTTAAGAATAAGAAAGAATAGAAAGAAGAGCAAAAAAGAAAGAAAAAGCAAGCAAGCAAGCAATCAAGACTTTTCTATACTAACTACATACTGTTAGTATATAACAGTTAGCATAAACTGTTCTAATCAACACCCATGATTGTTTTACTAAGGTCTTTAAGAGCTCTGTATTCAATTATTTTGTCAACATAGAAACATTAAGATTTGGTGAAATTTATTCTTCATATACTTTAGCGTCTTATGATTTTTGCATCTCTAGGAAAAATGTCACATGTTCATGATTATTAAACACAGCTGTTTGATTGGCATTAAAATGGATCTGCCTGATAAGACCTGGAACTGAGAACCCAAACAGAGCCTAAGGTAAGCTCCCAAGGGAAGTGCTGGCAGTAGATATTCAGAGGCATTTTGGACAGTTGGACAATCAGAGTGAGACTGACCCACAAGCAGGCAAAACGTGTATGCATTAGCAGGTGTGTGGAAGAGGGCTAGGTTTTGACTGAGGGTTGGAGAGGACATGAGCTGGTTTTTGCCTAATAATGACTAATGAGTGATTTAGGCAGATGGAACCTCCATGAAATCTTCTGGAGGATCCTGCTGTTAGTAGTGAATACCCAGTCACAGCAACTGACACTCAGAGGCAGCTGACAAGCCTCGGCAGCCTTGGCAGGAGGGGCAAGTCAAAGTTCTAGGTGTCAGAGTGGAAGCAGAGAATCAAGCAGAAAATTGGTACAGTAGGATGGAGACCCAGAGTATTAGGACAGAGCTGTGTGGCAGAGGTTGGGTCACTGTGGAGTAAAAAAGAACTTGTCGTGATCCTGGAAAGTAGCAGCAAGATTACAGTAGGGCTGGCAGGAAGGTGACCTGATACTGAAACACTGAATGTGGCCTCTGTTGTCTCTTCAGATACAGGATTAGGAGCCATTGGGAAAGGCTTGAAGCTATAGCTTGTGAGAATGACCCTCAGTGCTAGAGAGATAATGGACAATAAGTTAAACTTCATTTTAGTCAGGCCCTGGGCACCTGTAGTGTCAAAAGCTTCTTCCACTATTGAGAATCACTAGAAAATTACCAAGAAATACCCAGTGGTCTATTTATTTAGTGGATGCATTAAAAAAATTCTTCAAATAGCCCCATTCTTAGTGTGCTTTGACCTGTACACTCCCTATAATTCAGAAGAGTGAAGAAAGAAACAGTGGAGGAGAGAATGTACTTAAAAATATACAGTTAACCTTTTCCTCAAAGCCAAAGCCTAAAGGGAGAATGGCAGTGTAAAGAAAGTAGGAGGAGGGACCAGGATGACTTCTAAGGGAAAAAGAAAGGCATCTTTTATCCAAAACTAAAGCAAAATAATGGCTATGTGATGTTGCTTTTTGTCCATAACTAGGTCATAATAGACAAATGCATTTCTAATGATGAAGAACTCTGGAAGGGATAGGATCAAGGAGGGGAAAAGCAAGCCTCCCTCAATGTGTACCACATTCATTTGGGACAAAGATGATGTAGGTGTGCTGCCTGTCAACTAGAATGTGCATGGGAAGGGGAAGAGATGAACAAGAACAGAGAATTACTCCTTGGGCCATGTTGGTCATTAGTAGAATAGGTCATTCATTTTATCTTCTAGGATAGAATCTTTCTTTTTGATACCCAAGATGGCTTTGTGATATGTCATCTTGGCTATGTTAAATCACTTTCCCCAGAATTCCCGTTCAAGTGTGTTTCTGGTTAGGGTGGACCTTAAAGGAGATTCTCTCACAAGAGTTGAAAGACAGAAGAGAGGCAGCTGTCATTTAATAGTGTACACACACCATCCTCCAGATATTCCATCAAATGCTAGTGTAGGTGCTGCTGGGAAGGGGTTTTCCAAATGTAATTAAAATGACTGCTCAGCCAGAAATTCTCTGTAATAAGTAAATACACTCACACACATACATACACGTGCATACATACACATGGATAAGTGTGTACATATGTATATATGTATATATGGTTTTTATATATGTATTTTTAAAATACATATATAAAGGCATCTTTTGTCCAAAACTAAAGCAAAATCATGATGATGTGATGTTGCTTTTTGTCCATAACTAGCTCATAATAGATGAATGCATTTCTAATGATGAAGAGCTCAGGATGGGATGGAATCGGGGGGCAGGGGAAAGAAGGTATTTATATGTATTTTAAAATACATATATAAAAATATAAAATACACATAAAAATATGCATACTGGTTCTGCTTCTCTGGTTGAATCCTGACTGATGCAATACCTCATTTTTAGCATATTTTTGTACATCATGTTAGAGTTTGCTAAGGACTTCTGCATGTTTTGTATTATGTCCTAGATGACAAAACTGGGGCCCAGAAACAGTAAGTGACCTAACCAATGCCATGTAGCCAGTCAGTGATCTAATAAGACTTGAATTAAAGCTCAAGTTCCCCAACCTAACAACATTGCTTATAACATTAATGTTAAAGTTTCTAGTGTTATGTATAACAAAGTTTAATAACAATAAACATACAAGTTAAAAGTATAATAAAACTTTTTTGGGCATATAGGAAAAGTACAATAAAACTTTTTGGGGGTATAGAAAAAAAGTATTACAATTTGGATTGAAATAACAACTTCTCTTTATATTCCCGAAAATTATATAGAACTCCATTTTGGGGAGAGGATTGAAGTTTGTGATTAATTCCAATATTTATATAGAAATTTTTTTAAAAAACCCAGAGAATTTAGCAATGGGTTTACCATTTTATATTATGATGCCTCCTGGGCTGGGTGTAGAGAGGCTCGGGAAGGCTGGGTGAGGACAGATCTTAAAGATGTAACAGATGTAAGACCCAGTAATAAAATAATACACCTGTACAATAAGCATCCTATATTCTCTCATGTATTACTCAGATATAACAGTTCTAATTTAATCAACAGAAAACATCATATCCCATCCTTGCTGCTCTCTAGAAGTATTTAGTATCTTGATCACTGAAAGTCAGCATTGAAAAGGCTTTAATCTCTATTATCTATCTATCTATCTATCTATCTATCTATCTATCTATCTATCATCTATCTCCTGTCTATCATCTATCTATCTATCTATCTATCTAGCTAGCTATCTATCATCTATCTATCTATCATCTATCTCCTGTTTATCATCTATCTATCTATCTATCTATCTATCCATCTATCTATCTATCTATCTATCTATCTATCTATCTATCTATCTATCTAATTTTTTCCTCTTGGGAACAACAGTATAGGTATAAAATCCTAGGATAAGGGAAAAATTTTGGAAATAGTGATAATTTTTAATTTTTAACTTTTAAAAATATTTTTATTGCTATACCATAGTTGTACATATTTTGGAAGTACATGTGGTATTTTGATACATGTGTACAATGTGTGATGATCAAATCAGGGTAACTAGGATATCCATCACCTCCAACAACAGTAATTATTAAATTATAGGGTAAAGGGCTAAAAACAATGCACTTAACCTCAAGCATCAACATCTAACTATTCTTTTTTTTTCTCTCTCTCTCTCTTTTGGTCTTCACACAAACTGAGAAAGCCACAGCCCATGTAGAATGGAAATATACTATTTTAAACCTTTTTTCTTCTGGATACAAAACCCACTTCTTCACTAGGAAATTGCATTCCCATCCCCATCAGTCTTAGTTAAAACCACTGATTCAGGGTAATTTCCCAAGACATAGTGGGTGTTGTGGGGGTGAGAGCCCACATAGAGGGAACAACTGACTTAAGGAGGGCCTAGGAGGGTCCTCCTTCAGGATATCCTATACACGCATGTAGGGCAGAGGGCCGTGCCTTCCTGTGTGGTGAAGCTATGGAAGAGGAGTTGATGGGGATTTACAGCCATGTCTTCCAGAATATGGGAAAAGACCGTCTGCAGTAGGACTATCTACAACTTAAAGCTAAGTTGTAGAGAGATGCAAGGAAATGAGTCAGCTGAGATGGAAGCCTGGTACTTCCAATAGGTGGCTCCAGCTATCTCTGAAGCCCCAGTGCTCTGTGGGGTTGCTAACTTTTGGATTAATATAAACTTCATTTCGATAAGCAACCAAAGAGACTGGGGAATAAGGATTGGTGAAGTGCTCTACTTCTAGAGACTTGTATTCCAAGATATGGGTGAGAGTTTTGTCTGCTGGGGGCCAGGCTAGTACCTGAGAAGTCTGGTCTGAGCTTGCATCTTTGTGGCCTGTGGAGACTTAACATGGAATGGGACCATCCTGGTAGTTTATCCTTACACAAAATGGATTGGCCTGGGAATGAAAACTAATTGTATTTGTAAAGGTTCAATTGTCTTTTCTTTAAAAGGAGAGGGGGTGCAAAAATTGGGGAAAACTGTGGAAGGGAAAAGCATTTTGAAAAATTTTTAAATGCCCCTTATTATTTTGTAGTTGCAGGATTTTGGTTTAATTTGAATCAGTTAACTCTCAGAGGACATCTGTAGCATTTAGAAAAGGATGGCTAATTTGCAGCAGATACGAGCTTTTGTGCAAAGGCAGAAAGATGTACTGTAACATATGATGCAGATCACTTTAGAGTAATTGAACCATGGCTTTTGCATGCTTTCGATCTTAAGCTTATCTCTATCTGAAGCCTGTAGAAAGTCTTTTTCCATTTACATAACAGGGCAAGAGATTATTACTACTAAAATTAGATCCACGAATTGCTATGCATAGTGCTTTGTAGCATAATCAAATTATGATAAAATAGCCTTTATTTCTTTATAGCTATATAATATAGTTAGGTTCTTTTGCAATTTGTTTAGAAGTAAACGGTGGCAGTACTATTTTATTATATTAAAGCATTGCTGATTTTTGGCCAAACTGACAACCTTGCTTGATTGTTTTTAAGAGATGCTTATTTGAAGAATGGGGAGGAGTCTGACAAAGGCTAATTTGTTTTCTTTTCTTGCCACTCCTCCCCCAGCCTTTTTTTTTTTTTTTAATGTGAGTCACTGCTCATAAGTTCTTCCTGCACATCCTTATCACTTACTGTGATAATACGATCCTGAGAAAGTGGTTCCTGTTCATTTGATGTGACCAGATAAAGTCAAAAGCCTTATGCCCTGGTGAACCCTTAACTGTTTTCTCCCAGATTCTGAACAGGGCAAATCACAAAAACCTTGTCATCAGTTAAATTATTCCTGTAAAGATGTAAATATGGGAGGGAAGGGAAAACAAACTCAGAGAATCAAGGGAAAAAAAGGTGGCAGTGGGGGAAGAGAAGAAAATGGAAATTAAGACTTGTAATGGAGGAAAAAAACAGCAGAAAGGAGAGAACAGAAAACATATGACAAGGGTATGTCTATGAGGGAAATGAAGGCTAGAGAGAGGGCAAAATATAAAACGACGGGAAGCTTAAAACATGGTGTAAGAGCAGATTCCGCCCCATTTAAAGGCTCTGAAAGTTTCTTGATGGCTCTATTGAGCAGAACCCCCTACCCCCATCCCATTCTATATTACTGTTAATGCTACTGTTAATGTTAAAGGTAGCTGTAGCTGCAGAGGTGGCATTTCTTCTAATTTAATTTTCAGTCACGGAACTCAGTTACTGACTCTTTAGAGCCTGAGGGAGGATGAGCCTTTGTTAAAGCTGCAGCCGTTAACTTTCACTTTTCTTTTCAACCTCATTAGATTTCCTGAGGTTTAGTTCTAGACTTAAAGCACTGCACTGTGGCTAAACTATGTAAAATAACATTTTTGGTGAAAAGCAACACCTGCAAAAATGTCACACAAATTTCAACTTTAGTTGTACCCAGTGATGTCACCAAATGAAGTGCTAGTGCAGACGACACAAGTAATAGGGTATTTAATTTGTCACCGGCTTCATGGAAGCCACAGCCTCTGACTCCTTCATGGCAACCTGCAGTGTAATGATGAACCAGAAAAACTCCTTGTCTGGTGGGTACCTTTATATTTGTGTTCAATGAGTAGCACACCCATGCAGACATAAGCCTCACTGAAGCAGGATTGGAGAAGAGGCTGCTTACCTGGTTTAGTCCACACAGGGCAGCAAAATTCTGATTTAATTGGTAAATTAAATCCCCCATACTTTTCCCATACTCTGGAAGACATGGCTCCCCACGTGTGGGGAGATTCTTGAACTCAGAATATTACAAAAATGACATTTTCTTGATTTCTTGAGAATGACTAAAGGCTGGAATGAAAACTAAAGATGATTGACTCTGAACAATCAGGGACAATGATCTACAAAGTTTATACAATGCACGCGGTGATCAGTCTCTGCTGTCATGTCTTTCAGAGAAACATCTCTATGCTGGCCCAATCTGTGGATCCTGGGTTGGTGACCTCGTCCCAGATGGTCAGCCACAACCAGGGAGGCTTTACTGCTTCAAGACTCACTTTGCTGCTCAGAGGGTCTCTGTGCCTCTGGTCTCTATGACAAGCTGTTTTCTCTCCTCTGGTGTTGCATTCTGTTCTTTACATGACATAGAAAGACATTTTAAAGCCACCTAAGTGGGACAAGTCTCTCCTGTGAAGAGTGTAAATCTAATTGGATCCACCATCTCCTTGGTGCCTTGGCAGTGCCTATGCAACACCTTTAAATCTCTTCTAAGCAATGGTAACTTGGGCGTACTGTGTAATCACTTCTTGTCCAATATCATGTACATTTGCTTTTCTTGACATACTAGCTGTGTAAAAGTCACTCTAAAGGATACATAATAATACAGGAATTACTAAAGAAAAACTTGGCTGGGTGGATGGCTAAAACATTTTATATTTCATTATTCTACATTAAAAAGGTAGTGAAATAAAATCAGATTTATTTGATAGAAATATGTACCAGATTTCATTTGGACTTGTTCTAGAGGAGTATCTTCCACAAGCCTTTATTATTATTATTATTATTATTTTTAAATTTTAAGTACAATAGGAAATACATTTAAATCATGACCCATTTATTACAATGCACACAATTCTTACTAAGAAACCATGCGATGTGTTCTGATTCTTTCTATTCTATTTATTTCATTTAAAAATGCTGGTTACAACCTACACATTTCCTTCATTCCCCATGAATGGGTAGTGATGCACAGTTTGTAAACTACTTTTCTATAATTTTGAGCACAATACGCACAAAGGATAAAAAAATTTCAGGCAGTAGAAATTAAGTAGTAGACACATGAGTCTAAATTCTAAACACACAGTAAGTGTTTTGTTCTTGTTATTTTAAATGTTGGATTTAATTGTGGATTATTTTTTGAAGATTTTGGTGGTAACTAAGCCCTTGTTGCCCTGAATTCATTAAAATGTTTCAAACTAGTTTTTAAGCACAGCATTAAGGCTTTTTATAGTTATTATCTTATTTAATCTTTAAAATAACACTATGAGATAAAAGGCTTATTGGATGAAGAAACTGAGGCTAAGACTGAAGGCAATTTGCCCCAGGTTAAGAAATAGTTAGTAAGTAGTCAAGCCAATGTTCTCCCAAGTGCTGTGACTTTTCCACCTACTGCCAGGCTCTTAGCTAGACAGGGGCCAATCAGAATCACCCGAGAAGCTATTTCGACCCACACAGTCTCTCTTCCTATCCCTCCAAACTCCATCACACTTGGCTGCTGCTTAGACTAATGGAAAAGGGAAAAGCAGTTGGATTTTCTTTAGCACCGTAAATAGACTTGATCTCTACACCTCCCAGCTTGACATTTTTATATTATAGTATAACTTGATTATAATATAAGTTGGTTTATTTAATTTACCACTAATGACTCACAACATAGCGTAAGTAGATTGAAAATTACACCAATTTTTCATGGAAATTAAAAAAAATTAAATATAGGCACAATCTGTTACTCTTTCTGAAGACAAAGTAATAACTTAGAGGTATTACTGCTTCTAATAAAGAAGCCATCTATCAGTTAACCAAAGTGTTCTTTTGAAAATACAACAGCCAAGAGAGGGACACCTCCTTCTTACTCCCTGGCTTTCTCCATGACCTAGTTGTTGGACTGAAGCTGTTGTTTATTGTAAGTAGACTCAGGTCAAAGAAGCTGGACCTGAGATAGGGTATATATAGTACTAAATTAATTGGTTACAAGCTCCCGGAAATAAAGAATAGCCTTGAAAATATAGCCACTAAGTTACTAATTTTAACTATTTATTTTTAATTATTTAAAGAAAAAACAGTATATTTCTCTGCCTCAGCCTCCTTCACTTGATTGAGTAGAAGCCCTCATACTCCATATGCCTGGTACAGTAGGTTGGTGTGGTGAACACCACTGCTGCTCCCTGGTTTTTCCAGCTCTTCTCCTTTTCTGGCACCTGGGAGGATTATGCTTCTCCACCTCCTTGAATTTAGGGGTAGTCATGTGGCTTGCTTTGGGTAATGTGCAGAAGTGAAGTACATCAATCTTAGGGGGCATTAACGTGCCTACATGGGATTCTTCATGTTTTCTCTTTCCTTTCCATATTGACCCAGGATGGCACATGCTTCATATAGTAAGTGCTTCAGATGCTACACATGGAGGATAGGTTACAAAGCCTCCAGATTTAAAGTGAGCAAGTAATAAAGATTTGTCATATCATTCACTGAGATTTGGGGGTTGTTTGCTACCACAGCATAATCAAGCCATGCTTTTATAGCTGGTAAATCAAAAGAGCTGGTTAAAGCAAGGAATCTTAAATAATAATTAAATGTTCTTTTTAATTTTAATTTTAATTAAAAGTTCTTTTTAATTTTTAATAAAAAAATGTATACAAAATGACCAATTTTTTTGTTGTTGTTAGCCAGGACTTTTCTTCAATGATGAGTATGCTGACTGTATTTCCATATTGTCTTTTGTGCAATACCAAATAGATAATGCTTTATGCAGGATTTTTCCATGCAGGAAGAATGCAAAGGCATGGGTGAAACAATATTAGTTCAGACTCTTCTGGCTTCTTAACATTGCCCTTTGCAAAGATTTCACTTTCATCTCTCTTAGCAAACCTTTTTCAAGAGACTTACCTTTATTGAGACTTTCAAAAATACTCTTTCATTTCCATACAAACACCTTTCATTCTTTTCACACTCATATTTTACTAGTGTGTGGTATTTAATTAAATAATTGTATAATTCAAATAACAAGCACAAATGGCAGAAACAATTTAAGAATAAACATAAGTGATTCTTACAAGCATGTAATTCATCAAGTTAAAACACAAGACTAGAGAATTCTAGAGAATAGCCTACTTGTCATGAGTTTTGAGACTTTTACAAAAGGCCTAGAGAATCAGTATATTGGACACAAATCATGTGTATCTTCTCAGATCCCCTAGTTGACATTTCTTCTTCTGTTTCTCAGGTGGTATTTACTTGTAACAAGTCACCCTTCCACTTTAGATATGAATAAAATGCCATGTTGCAAGCATGGGATTTGGCCTCCTGAGTGGTTACCAGGGGGCCTATCAGTCCATTGACAGTGCTGGAAGATGTCTCCTTGTATGATGAATCATGACCAATAGGAAATGAGAGATGGGAGGCGTCTTGCAGGTGAATCTCTCGTTTCTTCATTCCAGGGACAGCAACAAGGTAAGCTTCTCCTTATAACCTTTTTAGGAAGACGTCCCTTTGTGCTGAGTAAAGTCTGCCTTGTGTACTGTTGTCATCTCTTTTGAACTCCGTGTGAAGTGGCGACCATCATGATAATGATTTGCATTACTCCATGTCTTTTATTGCCTCACTTCTCTCTTTCTCTTCATCTTTATTACCCTGGGCTTATATGTCCCTAGTGTCATCACTTTAATCCCTGCCTCAGGCTCTGTCTTCTAGAGCAACCATACAAAGACAGTCAGTTAATCTGATGAGTCAGTTAAACAGAGGTTGACTTAAAAAGCTTCTATGGAATAGCATTAGTGCTAGCCAAGGAGACGGTAGGAGCCCAGAGAAGTGGTGGAATATCTAGAGTCATTCACAGTCTGTTGGACTTATTCAGGGAATACAACATATATTGAGATATCCAAAATTAATGAGGCCTGATGGACAAAAATAGATCATTGGAGGAAACAAGGTTTTCAGTCTGGTAGGAAAGCTTAGGCATAATGAAGGAATAATAATACTATTAATAAAAATCATAACTAATATTTATGGGTTCTTACTAAGTTCCAGCTACTATGTTAAGTACCTTTGAAAACTTAATTAAATGAGACACAGTCAATTTTACTAATTTTTTAATGGAGAAACTGTGGCTTAGGAAACTTAAGAGGTTTTCACATAGTCACCCATCTAAGAAATAGTGGAGCACAAATTCAAACCCAGGCAGTTTGACTCTTAACCACAGGCCTAAGCAAATATGGGAAAATATTTAAACGAGCATGAGGCACATTAAAGAAGTAGAGAGCAGTCCAGAAAACTGGTAACAACATCTCAGACCCCAAATAGGAGAGCCACTCCATAAAACAGGATGGCCTGGGTATGAGTGCTGATACAGGGTCCGAGGCTCTCTGAATAACTGTTCAGAACTTAAGCAGCCTCCCAGTACAGTAAATCAGATCTAGCTAGAATAGGCTCACTCCTTTTAGAAGAGACTGCTTCCACTTTTTATAGTAATTGTTGTAAATGGCTAGATCTTTCAAATTTATTATTTCATTTATCCCATTATTCAACACATATTTAAGATTTTCTCTGAGCCATGCAAAACTATTGGCACTGTGGATATACAGATAATTAAGGTACAGTACAAACCTTAAGGAATTCACAGGCTGATAGAGAGGACAGCCAAGTATTCAAAAATATGTAAAAGAAGAGCAGTAACATGTGGGTATGGGGAGCACAGAGAAGGGTATTGACCTCCTGTGTGAAGTTAGAGGAATGGGGAGAATTCCCGGAGACAATGAAGAAGATGAGTCCTGATAACGGGACATATTTTTCTCAGGAGACAAAGGGAAAGGAATAACACTCTAGGCAGAAGAAACAGCACTGGGAAAGAAATGGAATCATTAACAAGTATATTGCATTCCTGAAACATGTGACAGCATGGTAGATTTGCAGTATAGGCAGAGTGACCATGCAATTCACCAATAAAATCAGAATGATACTTTTGAGAGTGAAAGGGGTGCTTTTCCTGACTATTTTGGGACAATAAGAATAAGAAGGAACTGTCCCAGGTAAACCAGGATATTTGGTCATTCCAAGTAAGGAGACTACAGGATGGAAAGGGTGTCGGAATTACTTAGACTTGAGTTTGAATCCAGGTGTGGATGATCAGAGGCAGTGTCTGTGTTCAGTCATCTTTGTAGCTGATTATGTCTCAATGTCCTCCTTTAAATCAAAATGAATTGCTTAAAATCAATATTTCTTACTTGTAGATTTGTGTGATGACAAAATGAGATAACAGAAATAATATAACTGAGACAATACCGGCCTCTAGTACGTGCTCAATAAATATTGTTTCTCTGTGTATACTCTTTCCACCATAGGCCAGAAATGGGAGACAAGGTTGGAGAATTAGGCCAGTGGGATTACCACACATTGCAAAGATCATGCCAAGGAGTTTGAATTTTGACCTTAAAAAAAAAATAATTAGGCAGATAAATTTCCTAATCATGTTTTTGCTTTAGAAATATGAGTCTGGGCCAGGCATTGTGGTTCATGCCTGTAATCTTCACACTTTGGGAGGTAGAGGCAGGAGGATCGCTTGAGGCAAGGAGTTCGAGAAATACTGGCATAGAAAGACAGATACCGCATATTCTCACATATCAAGAGGAGCTAAATAATGTGTACACATGGGCATAGAGTGTGGAATGATAGACAGTGGAGACTTGCATCAGGGAGGGGGTGGTGATGAGAAATTACTTAATGCGTATAATGAACATCAATTGGGTGATGGGTACCCAAAAAACCCTGACTTCACCACTATGCAATCTATGCATTTAACAAAATTGCACTTGTACCCCATGAGTTTATACACACAAAAAGGAAATATGAATCGGGTAGCAGTGTTTAAGATGTTTATTAGGGCTATGGGATGTATCCAGAGCTCCTGGTAACCTCTGGCACCATAAAGCCATGAGCTCTTATGTGATGCTAATTTTAAAAGAATATGAATTCAGTATTATTGTTGGAACTCATCCTCCACTGATTTTGGAAAATGGGAGTGGAAGAATATATCACTGTGTTAAGGAGTCGGGCTGAGTCAGAGATGGTGATTTAGAGCAGGAAGTTCTGACAACTCCCTAAATCTGATTCCTGAAGTATGGTCCCAGACCACCAGCATCAGCAGCATCTGGGAATCTGAACTTGATAGAAATGCAAATTCTTGGATGTACATAGACCTACTGAATCAGAAACTCTGGGGGTGGAGATCCAACAATCTATTTCTACTAGACTTCCAGGCAATTCTGATACATACTATTGTTTGATAACTGCTGTCCTGATTCAAAGTATAGTGCAGAGGTAAAAATTAAATGGGAAATCAAGGTTAGCAAATCAGAGAATAGTGATGAATATGTCACCAAACAAAAGAAGAAATTGAAGTAAACATTAAAGTCAAAGGAATCTGGGGTTCCCCGGAGATAAGAGGAAGGAACCTTTGATTGAGAAAATAAGCAGTTGATATGATACAGCCTTTGAAAAACACCTGAAATAGGTACTGCAACCTATGTTAGTTTCCTAGGGCTGCTGTAACAAAGTACCACAAAGTAGATTGCTTAAAACATAAATTTTGCAGGGCACCACTCTCACACCTGTAATCCGAGCACTTTGGAGGCCGAGGTGGACTGATCGCTTGAACTCAGGAGATCAAGACCAGCCTGGGCAACATAGGGAAACCCTATCTCTACCAAAAAATACAAAAATTAGCTGGGCATGATGGCAAATGCCTGTAGCTACTTGGGAGGTTGAGGCAGGAGGATCACCTGAGCCTGGGAGATTGAAGCTGCAGTGAACAGAGATTGTGCCACTGCACTCCAGCCTGGACAACTGGAGTGAGACCCTGTCTCAAAACAAAAGCAAAACAACCGCAATTTATTCTCTCATAGCTCTGGTGCCTCCAAGTCTGAAATCAAGGTGTCAGCAGGGCTGTGATCCTTCTGAGCATCCAGATAAACTCCTTCCTGGTCTTTTCCTAGCTTCTGGCGGTGGTTTTCCATTCCTTGGCATTCCTCGGCTTGCAGGTACAACATGCCAAGCTCTGCCTCTGTCAACGCATGGCCTTCTTTCTGTGTCTCTCACTCCATGTCCCTTCTCTGTGTTCTTCTTACAAGGACACCAGTCATATTGGATTAATGCCCACTCCAATGACTTTACCTTAAGTAATGACATCTGCAACACCTCTGTTTCCAAATAAGGTCACACTTTGAGGTATTGGGGATGACGGTAGGGTTAGGACTTCAATATATTTTGGGGCCAGAGAGGGGGACATAAATCAACCCATAACGTAGCCCATCATCAGTTCTTATATAACTGGCACTGGATAATTTGGGTTCCCTTAGAAATAGACCCTGAAACAGAGATTCATGTTTAAGCAGTTGATTTGGTAGGTGATCCCAGAAAATGCCTTAGGGAAGTGGGAAAGTAGGGCAGGGAGGGGAAAGCATACAATAAAATTACTGATTAGACTTACTTGGAGTTTTTCAAGGGACTTCATTTTCCTAGGTTTCTGAGAATTAGAAAAAGAATTTTGAGATAGCTCCCTGATGTCACAGAAAGGCAAACCTGGACAGAGAAAAACCTAATTTGCCCATGGCCCTTTAATAAGATATGGGAAAATTTAGAAAGAACATTTCCTGCCTCAGTCTCTACTCTGCTCCTTCAGCTGCTCAACTATGTCTGACTTGTCTAGAAGGCTAAGTAAGCCAAATTGTTACATGATGCTCTTTCTAAAGAGGAATTGTGCATTTCTTAGTATTAACGTTTCTTTTTAAGGTGGACACCATGCATGTATATATGGGTAGAGTTTTAACACCATTTTTATCATATAAAAAAGGCTTAGAGATTTTTCTTGCTTAAGATGATGCATCAAGTTTTTGAGAAAATCTGGCTTATAAGCCGAATTTTTTTTCTGTTTTGTATGCATTACTTCTTTTCACATAAACACAAATATTTTTTGGTTACTTACGAGCTATGTATACAATGTGATCCAGTCATCGGAATTGCTACAATAAAATATATTTTACTGGAGACAGAGGCACCCCACATAATCTGACCTTCTCATATTTAAACTGCATGACAAGAAATTTGGCATAGTTAATAAAGAAGTGTTTTCTCCTTTATAGATTGTGTCCTGTAACTCAAAGATTTTATATACTTGGCTTAGTTGCTACTTGGTGTGCATGTTTGTGTGAGTGTTGGTAAGAAATCCTATTCTGACTAATGCCTGAACAATGGAAATATATTAGGTTTTAGATATGCAAATGTTTATTATAACACTGGTATTGGAATAACAATAATACTAGAAACTGTAAATGTGAACTTCCTGCTATTGAAGGAGGCTCGTAACTTATACATATAGTATACATGCCCAATGATGTTTGTTTTGATATCTAATGTAGTAATACAAAATCTAGTATAATTAACCACTGTAACTTTGGATGATAAGCTAACTGAAGTTATATGTGAAAAAGTTTAGCCCACAAAGAATAATTTTTAACATCAGAATATGTAGCTGGTCTTGTGTAGTCAAGGGTGGAAAGAGAATCCAATTATTACTTTCCCAACATCGTATTTAGTGGGGAATCAAACTTCAAGGGCCTATAATTTACAGCAGTCTCATGCCAAAAAATCATAGAAAGTATACTTGTGAGAGTTGTAATCCTACATAAAAATTTTTAGTGGAGTTATGGAAGGTATGTGAATTTTATGTTTTCTTTTGGCCGTGATTAAAGTTATAATGAGGATTTTGTACAAATTATTTCTTTGTATACTTAAAGACTTGGTTTCAAATCCTGTCTCCCGCTTATTGTAGTATGATTGTACAATTTATTTAATTGTCCTCTGTTTTGTCATCTGTAAAGCATTTCAAACTTTTATTCCCATCTGCTAACGCAATGCCTGCCATATATTAAGTGTAATTAAAGAGTCTCATTCTAAATCAAACGACTTTAAAGGATTATCATTAGGATAACTGACAAAGCTTGACACGTAAAGTAGACACTCAATAAAAAATATTTTCATTCCCAGTCATGGTGTGTGCTCTTTGTATGTATCATGATACATGTTGGAAGAAGCATTTTTAAAAACCCTCAATTTAGAGACTATGGACACGTTATTCAAACTCTGACAACTTCAATTGTTTCTTCTCTAAAATAAAAAAGAAAGAACTACCCTTCAGTGTTGAGAATCAAATGTATTAATGAATGCATGAAGTTCTTTGATTTTGCTTTTTAATCTTGAAAATGGGAATTGTATTCATTACATATCTTAAAATGTTATGAAGGCCAATTTAGAGAATCCATCTGGAAACAATTTTTTAAAATCTGGTAAGTATTGTACAAACGTTAATTTTTGTCATCATGAAAAATTCTAGAAACATTAGATTTATTTCTGATCAGTAAACATTTATTCTCTAAACAGTATAAAGTATTTGCTGCACTCTCAAACTTAATCAAATCATTACATTTGAATATTATCAGTATTGATTATTATCAATCATGACCCTGTATTTAAAAAAAACTAATTTGTGAATATTTAAATTTCTAGGAAACCAAACATACCTGCTAATGATTATTAGTAACAGTTTTTTACATTTTAAAAGTGTTTTGTCACAAACTTCTTTTAATCAGTAAGGTCTACTTTATGTTAAATATGTGATTTGATTAGTAAAGTTCCATTTTACATTGCCTTTTACAATCTCACTGTGTAAAATGTTTTCCTGTAATTAAAATGAACAAATTAAAAATATTGATTAATCCTTTGGATGAAGCCACCTGCAAGGTAATCTCAATTACAAGGTCCCTGCCCTGAGGAAGCTTAGGTATGAAGTAGGATTGAAGACAGTCAAGACTGACATTGTCAATAAAATATCCATGGAGAAATTGACACTCAGGTGAGATGTTGAAGGCAAAGAGGATGGGAAATAAGAGGGCAGTGGCCTGTGTAAAGGAGAGCTGGGAATGGCCAGGCATTTTCAGAGAAAAATGGACATTGTGAGGTATAGTCAGTCACTGGTGATGAGAAGAAATAGGAAACATGTTGCTTGTGGTAGTCATTGTTTTCCAGACTAAGGAGAGAGTGGACAGACATTGAGTGTTTTTAGCAAAAGAATTATCAACTTAAAAGGGAAGTTCTGGGAGATTAACTTGTCAGTGGAGTTCAGAGTTGAATGGAGAGGAGAGACAGGAAAACTTCTAGAATATCTGTAGTTTGAATATGACTTGTTAAGGTCCTGGAATGAATATAACGACACCAATAGATGAAAGGTTAGGAAATGAGTTATTAAAAAAAATAAAAACTAATTCTACTTGCCAGCTGATCCAAATGGAATACAGGGAAGTCAGAAAAAAAGATTTTTTTTTTTTCCCCAGAGGGAAAGGTAAGGGCACTGTGGTTGGTAAGGTCCACGCAGGTATAGAAATGTTGGGTTAATCTGATTAGGTCAGTTTTGTAGCAGACTAGGGCTGGAGTCTTGAGAGCTGACTAGTTCTGTGAAGGAGAAATTGTGGGCTTATATTGCTAACCCTGGTCTCAGATACAGAACTCAGGAAAGTAGACTGAGTATGCTATAAATCTCCCATTTCTATTGTATCCCTGTTCTATTGAAGGCTTTCTCTAAGAGGCTCTTTGTTTCAAATTATCAGGTAAACTTTCTAGTTATGAAGGTTGTTTCAGCCTTCACACTGTCAACCATCATACTTATATCCTGTTAAATTGAACACCAAGAAAAGTTGTAGATTTTTGCATTTATTGTAATGGAATGTTCTTTGCAAAGCTTTAGCTATGGCCACTTAAATGTCAACATTGTTAACAATGCTGTCTCTAAATTAGATACCTACAGGAAAGCTCTTTTAGTTGGAAGACCTTGCATGTTATAAAGCCTCTTATATTTGAATGTGTTATTAATAAGAAGTCACTTACAAAGTATATGTGCTTCCAGCCTCAGAAAGACATTTCCACTGTTCTAATCAGTGGGTTTAAATTCAGTGTTAAATACTTTATGATTAGTTACGAAAATCAACCCACATCAAAAGAGAATTTTAGGATTTTAGGCATTTAAAATATCTTTTACCAATCTTAGAATTGATTTTAATAAAAACACAACTTGAGACAATTATCTCTATTAACAACATTCAGCTCTTTCCAGTGCTTTGTCAGTTTGGTAAGGCATCAGGATTTCTTCTTATCCCCGCAAGAATGGAGCTCTGGGTTTGCAGTGTTTTCCGTGCTGTGATCCTGTTGTATTCCTCTCTCATGACATATACTTTAGAAAGTTATGTGTGAAGAACTTGGGGCTGTGTGTTTGCGTGAGAGTGTGGACTCCTTTCTCCCTTCTGCTTTAAACAAATCACTCACATATGTAGCTTCCATGTTTTTCTCCATTAGTCTTCCTCATTTTCTCTTAGTGCTTCCTCTGGTGCAAATTCTTACATCACTAAGAAAGGTATCTCCTCTCGGTGGAAGTATTCCTGTTTCAGATATCCATAATGTAATGTGGCAGTTTTTCTGAGTCTAGCTATAGAATTTCTTTAAAATAATAATGAAAAACTACGCCAATTTTTTTTTTTTTTTTTTTTTTTTTTGCCACTGAACTAGAAGAAAAGTCTAAGGGAAATTTA